TGGGTGAGTTTCTTACTGATAATATTTTTCATATCTCTCTAATAAACAAATCCTTTACGTCCCTTATTTATTATTAAATCAGCTTTGCAAATCATTCGTTAATCTTCACTGTACACCTTGCATAAAAATTTCATATGGTACACACGAGGTGTCATGCACACCAGAAAATTAAAACGGCTGTCACGGTTAAACTTCATATTATTTCGGGTCCGAAAAATTAGTAAATATTCTTCAGACGTCCTAAAGTAAAGGTGAACAGCGTTTTTCTTAAAAATATCACTGTTATGTAGTTAAAAAAATCCGGAAAGTTCTCGCCTTGTGACTTGTTCAATACTTCGAACGCGGATCGAGTCCGTCCCGACCTTCTGTCAAAGCCTCGTGTTGCGGACTCTCTCGCGGACCCTCTCCCTCGCACCGTCACCTCTCATTGGCCAGTGTTTTTCGTTAATAACTCGTAAACAAAGCCTCAGATTGCAAATTCGCAAAGGAAAAAGTTACTTCAAATGACCTCAGCTACCCCTCATTTTCGGCTGTTAAAATAATTGTGGGACACCCTGTATATATCGAACACTATATATATATGTAATATGCATAAAATGCGAAGTTGCAAAATTTTGTAATATTAAACATAGTCTTCTGCAGTATATAAGATATGATGGATCGCATCCAATTGCACATGTTCACTCAAGCACACTGTGTTGGTCTTCTCCTCTCTTTAAAACAGCCTTCACTTTTCAACCAGTTCTTCAGGAATTCAGGAAACAAATAATCACAGAAATATATCTCTCTAATGAATCTTTATTTCATTGCTGAGGATTGTCACATTTCTCTTATCTTTCCTACACATCTGGGAAAGTCTATCCAGACCACTTGTGATTGTTGAATCGCTTTCAATAACATTTTTCATTTTAATAGAACAAGTCGCGTTCCGTTACATTATACAGACGATTATTACTTCGCGAACAAAACTTTTAATTTACGTACGGAGATGTAACATAGAAAGGAAAGGAAGAGCAAAAATGAAAATTGTGCAATGCCCGCGCGGACACGATGGACACAACGTCGTGAAAAAGATCTAGTTGTAGTAACTATACATCGATGATTGTTTGAACAGTAACGCGAACTCATCGCTGATCATTGGCTTTTCTGCTTTCTCCTTTTCGTAATCTACCCAGGCTTGCTTTCTTTCTTCCTCGTTCAATTCTTCCTCGGACTAAAAAAGATACAAAACTGTAAAAAGATAAAAATATAAAAAAAAATAAAGAAATAAAAATATAAAAAAATAAAAATAAAAATGAAGAGTTTGAATAACTATTGGGTTGGCAACTAAGTAATTGCCGATTTCAGTTATAGATGTTTCTCACTCTCATTTTTATGGTATCCGTAAATATTATATTATAAAATTATTATTATTATTATTATTATTATTATTATTATTATGTTATTTTTTATTATCCGTGAATGTTAGCAACTGGACAAATTGAATGCAGCGGTCAAGAAAAAGCAACCAGAATTGGTCAATCGTAAAGGTGTCATTTTTCAGCAGGACAATGCTAGGCCGCACACGTCTTTGTCCACTCGGCAAAAATTGATGGATATTGGTTGGAAATTGATGTTACACCCACTATACAGCCCTAATCTCGCACCATCGGATTACCACTTATTTCGATCCTTGGACAACTCCCTTCGTGGTAAATCTTTTAATGATGATGACGCGCGCTGTAAAATCTCACTTAACTCAGTTTTTGGCCGAAAAGGATCAGACTTTCTACGAGCGTGGAATTTTCAAGTTGTCAGGGAGACGGCAAAAGGTCATCGAACAAAATAGAAAATACATTACAGATTAAACTTCGTTCCAAGTAAAAAAGAAGTTTTTATTTCATTGAACAAATCGGCAATTACTTAGTTGCCAACCCAATATGATTTTGTTTCTGAGTTACCTTATTCTCCAAAAGGGAGTCGTGTTCGTGATAGTTCTCCACGTAATTTTTATACTTCAAAAATATTTCCGCCAGCAATCTATCTTTTGGCAGATTCAACGTTGCCCTTCCCCCACCCTTGTTCGGCTTAAAAGTGTACAACTCGACTAAATCATGATTTCTGTAATGCCGTTCTATTTGTTGTTCGTCGAGGACTCTGCAGGAGAGCGACAATTTCGTCACTTGCCGATTGTAAATTTTCTCCTCCATCGTTCCGGCCGCCAGAAATCGGTAAACGTAACACGGCTTTTTCTGACCAAACCTAAGTTTACATATTACAATAATGTCTCTCTAATTGACGCTCAGATTGTCCACAAGAATGGACAATTTGGGAAGTGGAAATACGATTATTCGAGCCTTGCTGCTCTTTATAATTATTTACAATCGATAACTATACAAACCAACAATTAAAAACGAACCGCAAGGCTCGGAATAATCGTATCTCCTATTCCCGAAATTGTCCACTTTTGTGCGCGATCCGAGCGTCAATTAGGGAGACATCACTGTAGCTGATGCAACATTACCGAAAAACAATTTTAATATTATCATAAATATTTATATTTCGTGTTGTCTGGCTATTGAAAAAATGTGCAATATTCATACATTATCGCTCGCACGAATAATTTATTTAGCATCGATGCATGCTAACGCATGCGCTAATGCATCCCGAATTAATTAGGCGACGTCGCGCACGCAATGTCTCCCTAACTGACGCTAAGATTGTCCACAAAAATGGACAATTTGGGAAGAGGAGATACGATTATTCAAGTCTTGCGGCACGGTTTTACAGTCGTCGATTGTTAACAATTTGTAATCGTATTCTCCTCTTTCCAAATTGTCCATTTTCGTGGAAAATAATTTCGGTTTGCACCAATTGATAGCGTTATGATAGCGTTGTTATTACTGTAATTGGATCGTCGAAGCGGTTACATTATTATTACTATTATTATTATTGTTATTATAGTATTTTGATTCAATTTACCTATACACACGAAATATACTCTGCACATCGTGCGAGGGATTCCAACTCGCATCGAATAGAATCACCCGATTAGCAGCAGTCAAATTAATACCTAAACCGCCGGCGCGCGTCGATATCAAGAACAGCATCGCCCTTGTATTCGTCGGACTATTAAACGCTTCGCACCATCGAAATCTTTCCTTCGGCGACGTTTTTCCATCCAATCGATAATAATCCAAGCCAAACAACCAACTGCTTCTGTGCCCCGTGCACTCTGAATTCTCACTTTTCTGCGTCTCCTTGTCGATGTTTACCAAAAAATGCTCGATCAAGGTCAACGAATACAATGACTGCGAGAACACCACTCTAAAATAAGTATATTATTTATAATATACTTTAGTATATTATAGTATATTATTTATACTAATATATACAGGGTGTCCCAAAAATGTCTCGCAATCCGAAAGTGGCGGGTTCCTCGGGTCATTCGAAGCAACTTTTTCCTTTACAAAAATGTTCTCCGAGGCACCGTTAACGAGTTATTAACGAAAAATAGTGACCAGTGAGAGGCGAGCTCAGCTGGCGTGAGGCGACCGAGCCAATGAGCGGAACTGGGCTTCGCGCGCTGGTTGGCTGGGCCGCTTCGTGTCAGCCGTACTCGATTTTTATTGGTCACTGTTTTTCGTTAATAACTCGTTAACAGTGCCTCAGAGAACATTTTTGTAAAGGAAGAAGTTGCTTCAAATGATTCGAGGAACCCGCCGTTTCCGGATTGCGAAGCATTATTGGGACACCCTGTATATTTATATATGTATATCTTTTAAAATATATATGTAAAAATAAATAATATAAAGAAATAATATAAAGAAATAATGTGAATAATATAAATATAAATAATATAAAGAAATAATTTGAATAATATAAATATAAATAATATAAAGAAATAATGTGGATAATATAAAGAAATAATATAAAGAAATAATGTGAATAATATAAATATAAATAATATAAAGAAATAATTTGAATAATATAAATATAAATAATATAAAGAAATAATGTGGATAATATAAAGAAATAATATAAAGAAATAATGTGAATAATATAAATATAAATAATATAAATAAATAATATAAATAAATAATAAAAATATATATTTAAAATAATGTATATTTTAAAATAAGTATAATTATACGCTGCTACAGAAAAATCGAGAAGCCTCGGAATTCGTACAGTTTGTCGCCGATTAGCTCGCATTTTTTCAAAATGCCGAACAACAGCATTAATTTCGAGGAGATGCTTATATCGTCCAAGTGATCGGACTCGACGAATTGCGTCCACCAATGCGTCCTCTCGATTTCTTCGGGCCTGACAATCTCAGTCTCGACATCTGAACACAATTAGTTTAAGATTGCAAAACGCGACCAAGAACGAACGAAGCAATAACAATTGACATCGACGATCGTATTAATACCCTTTGCACTCGAGTGGCGACTCTGAGACAACGTTAAAAAATTTACGATGTCACGTTCTAAAATAACGTTTACATTAGCAAAGTTTAGATTTTTTAAAAATTGTTTAGAGCGTAACCGTTGTTGCGAGTCACAAGAGTCAATTTCATGTGCATAAAATGCACTTTGTCACGTAAAATAAAAATACCATGAGTCGGAACAATTATTTTAGATTTACAGTTGAAACAGCTTCGAGTGCAAAGGGTTAAGATCAACAATTCCTGTACTTCTCGATGACTTTGGAGCATCATTCGATCCTTCGCTGTCGGTGCTTTCAGTCTCGTCGCTGATAAAATCGAACTCCGAGCTCTTCTCGTTGATTCTCCGTATTCTTTCCGAGTGCCAACGCATCGTTACAGGATGCGTCCATATCCTCTGCAGCATCTGATAATCTTGGAAAAGGGAGCCTTTCGTGGAATACTGGCATCTACGGAAAGCGTGCAATAAATTAAAAAAAAAAAACAAAGAAAACGAACCCAAAGAAAATTTTGCTCGTTCATTTTTCCCGTACCGAGCCAGGTTGTTTACATAATATCGGTACATTTTGATCTGCACGTCGGACAGTCTCACGAAAATAACGTATTCCTGCTTGGGCGGCAACAGCGGCGTCAGCACCGAATAATTCAATCTCTGCACGCAGCTCTCCAACATTTTGTGCAGAACGTACGCTCGTTGCTTCATTAATCTCACGTCGTTTTTCGTTGAATTGCCGTATTGGCCGTTGTTTATCGGATTGCCGAATCTGTTCAAAAATTTATTCTTGGTTTCCAGGAGATTCGGCTTCACAAATTGCATCATGCAATGATCTGCGCGCGGCGGGAATTCAATTTTTTTGCAATTTATCATCGATGACATATTTTTAAAAAGCTATAGTTATTAACCTTTTAGGCACGACGCGCCACTATAGTGGCTTCCGCGGATGTCATCTTTCAGAACGACGCGCCACTATAGCGGCTTTCGCGGATGTTATCTCTCTGGACGACGCGCCACTATAGTGGCTTGCTCTAGTAGTTCACTCGCTCATCGTTTGAACCAAATAATCGTCTTCGTATGTATTGTTTCACACTTCTTTTGTCTTCGCATCGATTTACAACAGTCTACAGGGTGTCCCAAAAATGTCTCGCAATCCGGAAATGGCGGGTTCCTCGGATCATTTGAAGCAACTTCTTCCTTTATATAATATATAATACTATATAATACTATAATACTATAATAATATAAAATATATATACATATATAACAATACTATGATACTATAAATACTATAAAATACTATAATATACTATATAATACCTGTCTCTTATACACATCTAGATGTGTATAAGAGACAGCAGCATATACTATATATATACTATAATATAAAATACTATAAAATACTATAATATACTATATAATACTATATATAAGTATATATAGTATATTATATAAGTTATATGTAATACTAATATAATACTTAAGTTATATATAATATTAAATATAAGTTATACTATAGTATTATATACCATATAATACTATTTAATACTATAATACTATAAATACTATAAAATACTATAATATCTGTCTCTTATACACATCTTAAGTACTATAAAATACTATAATATCTGTCTCTTATACACATCTTAAGTACTATAAAATACTATAATATCTGTCTCTTATACACATCTTAAGTACTATAAAATACTATAATATCTGTCTCTTATACACATCTTAAGTACTATAAAATACTATAATATCTGTCTCTTATACACATCTTAAGTACTATAAAATACTATAATATCTGTCTCTTATACACATCTTAAGTACTATAAAATACTATAATATCTGTCTCTTATACACATCTTAAGTACTATAAAATACTATAATATCTGTCTCTTATACACATCTTAAGTACTATAAAATACTATAATATCTGTCTCTTATACACATCTTAAGTACTATAAAATACTATAATATCTGTCTCTTATACACATCTTAAGTACTATAAAATACTATAATATCTGTCTCTTATACACATCTTAAGTACTATAAAATACTATAATATCTGTCTCTTATACACATCTTAAGTACTATAAAATACTATAATATCTGTCTCTTATACACATCTTAAGTACTATAAAATACTATAATATCTGTCTCTTATACACATCTTAAGTACTATAAAATACTATAATATCTGTCTCTTATACACATCTTAAGTACTATAAAATACTATAATATCTGTCTCTTATACACATCTTAAGTACTATAAAATACTATAATATCTGTCTCTTATACACATCTTAAGTACTATAAAATACTATAATATCTGTCTCTTATACACATCTAGATGTGTATAAGAGACAGCTATAGTATTATATACCATATAATACTATTTAATACTATAATACTATAAATACTATAAAATACTATAATATACAGCATATACTATATATATATACTATAATATATATACTATAATATAAAATACTATAAAATACTATAATATTATGAATACTATAAATACTATAAAATACTGTAATACTATAAATACTAGAAAATACTATAATATTATAAACACTATAAATACTATAATACTATAAATACTATATTACTATAAAATACTATAATACTATAAATACTGTAATACTATAAACTACTATAATATATATACTATAATATTGTGAATACTATAAATACTATAAAATACTATAATACTATAATACTATAAATACTATAAAATACTATAATATTATAAGTACTATAAAATACTATAATATTATAAATACTAGAATACTATAATATTATAAATACTAGAATACTATAAAATACTGTAATATTGTAAATACTATAAAATACTATAATATTATAAATACTATAAATACTATGAAATACTATAATACTATGAATTAATCCGAAGGCACCCCGTTAACGAGTTATCAACGAAAAACAGCGACCAAGAAGAATCGAGTACGGCCGACGCGAGGCGGCCCAGCCAACCAGCGCGTGTAGCCCAGTTCCGCTCATTGGCTCGGTCGCCACACGCCAGCCGAGCTCGCCTCTCATTGGTCACTGTTTTTCGTTAATAACTCGTTAACGGTGCCTCGGAGAACATTTTTGTAAAGGAAAAAGTTGCTTCGAATGGCCTGAGGAACCCGCCACTTTCGGATTGCGAGACATTTTTGGGACACTCTGTATATACAGTATCAGACTCTGTACAGGACACATCAGACTCTGCCGTCCAGAGAAATAGCCTCGCGCAGAATTCAGTCGTACCTAAAAGGTTAATCGTGTGTAATTAATGCTCACATTCGATCAAGTTATTTTGCAGGGGCGTGCCGGTCAGCGCTATTCTGCGCAACGTTTTGATCCGTCTCATCGATCTGCTGAGAGCGGTGTCCTCGTTTTTCAGCAAATGACCCTCGTCGCAGACCACTAAATCGGGCCCAGGATCTATCAGATAGCGTAGCATCTCCTTCTTCCACGACTCCGGCATTTTACTGTTGTTCGCGCAGGTCAATTTTCGGAACATGGCGTAGCTGATCAGAAGAACGCCGCCGCTCCCGTACCAAGACTCTAATTGCCATTTCTTCTGCACATTATTCCTTGATCTTTAATCAATGTTTCACGGATTATGTCAGTTCTGTTCGAGACATTTGATTCGATATAATTCGCTGTACAGTAATGTCTCCCTTACTGACGCTCGGATTGTCTCCCTAACTGACGCATGGATCGCCCACAAAAATGGACAATTCGGGAAAAGGAGATACGATTGTTCGAGCCTTGCGGCTCCTTTTTATAGTTATAAATTGTCAACAATTATAAAAGCGAGCCGCAAGGCTCGGATAATCGTATCTATTCTTCCCAAATTGTCCATTTTTGTGGACAATCTGAGCGTCAGTAAGGGAGACATTACTGTACATGTACAGATATAACCCTTTGCACTCGAAGCCATTTTAACTGTAAACCTAAAAGAATTTCTGACTTATAGTAGTTCCATTTTATACGACAAAGTGCATTTTATAATAATATTTTTTTAATAATTTCCTTTATCACCTTTTTCTGTAACATAATAATCTTTTAAGTCTAAACTTTGTTATAAAATGCACTTTGTCGTATAAAATGAAAATACTGTAAGTCAGAGAAATTATTTTAGATTTACAATTATAAAATGGCTCCGAGTTTTCGATTTTTCTATCAACAATCTTTTTCTAATAATTTCTTCTATCACCTTTTTCTATAACATAATAATCTTTTAAATCTAAACTTTGTCGATAGAAAAATGATCCTGAAACGTGATACAGTAATGTCTCCCTAACTGACGCTCAAATTGTGCACAATAATGGACAATTTGGGAAGAGGAGACACGATTAATTAATAATCATTCGAACCTTGCAGCTCGTTTTTATAATTGTTGACAATTCGTAACTATAAAAATGAACCGCAATGATCAAATAAATCCTATCTCTTCCATTTTTGTGGACAATTTGGGAAGAGGTGACACGATTAATTAATAATCATTCGAACCTTGCAGTTCACTTTTATAGTTGTTGACAATTCGTAACCATAAAAATGAACCGCAATGATCAAATAAATCGTATCTCTTCTTCTTAAATTGTCCATTTTTGTGGACAATCTGAGCGTCAATTAGAGAGACATTATAGAGTCTCCACTCGAGTGCAAAGGGTTAATAACCCGGCTGACTTACTTCGTTAATTCGTAAACCTTGACACTGGTGCCTTCGATGTCCCGCAACCACAAGTTAAATTCCTTGTTCCAATTGAGTATCGTGTTCATAGGGCAGACGATCGCGATCGCTTTGACGCCAGTTTCTTCGTGATTCAACAATGTGTGCAACAATGCGATTACTTGGAGGCTTTTACCGAGGCCCATGCAATGCGCGATTATGCATCCGGAACCCGATGACGATCTAATCCTTTCGAGAGACTCGAAGCAAACGTCCCACATGAATTTGATTCCCTTGACCTGATGAGGTTTCAAGCATTTCACTATGTCCGAGTGAACGGTCACGAGCTCCTCTTTCGTTTCAGTATTAAAATCTAATACCAGTTTTTGCAGCGCCTCTTCGTTAGGCGATTTCCCTTTCAACATCTCGTCGTACTGTTTCGGAAATCCATAATATAAAGTTCTCTGTATATTTATAAGCGAATTATGAGAAAAATATGCATACAGGGTGTCAAGAAAGTACATCTTGGAAGGAGTTATGGTTGTTAAAAAAATGTTCCCATCAAAATTGTTCGCCAGGACGGAATTAATAGTGCATTATGCGGTATTAATTTCTTATTGAATAATTAATAATAATATAACATAATTATTAATTTATAATATTATTATTAATATTAATATGTTATAATATTAATTTCTGATATTATATTAATATTATTAATACTATTATAAATTTAATTAATATTATAATAATTATATAATATATATTATATATATATTTATTTATTTTACATATTATATTATATTATATATATTATTATAATATAGATTATAATAATTAATATTATATTAAAAATATTATATTAATTAAATTCATAATAATATTATAATATTATATTAATATCAATCATATAATATTATAAATTTAATTAATATAATATTATAATATGATAATATTAATATTAATATACTATCAGAAATTAATAATTTCTTATTTATCTTTATCGATATAATAACGTATAGCACCTCTTTGGATTCCTCTCAGTGCCAGCAGTAAGTTTCTGAAGGAAAAAGTATAGTGTTCCGTTTAAGAAAATTAGGTCAACCTTCGTAACTCCTAAACTACTTTACCTACGATAAAACAATTAATACTACAAGACATAGTCCATCTTGTCGAACAACATTTGTACGAACCCTTTTTTAGTAACTATAACTCCCGCCGAGATATTCTGCTGCGTTTAAACGAGACCACCCTGTACATAACGAAGCGACTTAAATATATACTAATTTTTGCCGGTGAGCAATCCGTTCAAGCCTCTCCGCCTCTTCTTTCGCGACTCGTCTCGTCGCCAGAGCGACCTGCTCGTCTTCCATCACTTTTCGTATATTCTTGCGACCTTCTCTTTTAACGGGCTTTCCTTGAAAATTCTTGGCTACGTAATCAGGATCACTGTCATCGTCGCTGTCGGTATTACTCGCCGTTTCTTTTCGCACGTTTATCGAGCTCGTTGTTCTCGAACTGTGATTATCAATTAGCATAGAAACATATTAGAAGATTATTCGACTCGCGTACTTGACGGTCTCTTTGATAAGTACTCGCGTGAGAGGTACATTTCCTCGCCGATCGACGAATCCGTGTTGGGAAATCTCATTTCGAACGTCGAATCGGAATCCAACAATTGCACGTCCGAATTGGAATCCGCTAATTCTATGATCGGTACAGTGCCTTGAATTGTTTTGTAATCGGTCATCCTCTCTTGTTTGACGGCCGTATCCGGATCTTCTCTATTGTGGAAACATTCGAATAATATAATCTCGTTTGTCTTTTTTTGTTCAATCGAAAGTTTAAGAGACGAACTAAAGAGAACTTACATCCGATCTTCTGTCACCTTTCTCTTCGATCGCACCAGCTCCTGATACTGCTCGATTATTTCGTCTTCGGAGGCGGACGACGAAAATTTCCTGTTCAATAATCTATTCCATTTCCAGGCGCTTTTTCGATTGCTCTCACGTTTTTTCTCGGGCTCCTGATTCAATTCGAGTAACTGATTATTTTGAATTACTTCGTTTAAAATAATAGTAATGATTAAGATAATACGAAATAATAGTCATAATTGAAATGTAAAATAATAATATTAAGAATTATCTTAATACTATTATTATTATTTTATATATATACACTTTAATATATTTATATATTATCCTAATATTATTATTTTTATTATTATTATATTATATTATATTGTTTTGTATTGTATTGTATTGTATTGTATTGTATTCTATTCTATCGTATTGTATTATATCGTATTATATTATATTATATTATATTATATTATATTATATTATATTATATTATATTNATTGTATTGTATTGTATTGTATTGTATTGTATTGTATTGTATTGTATTGTATTGTATTGTATTGTATTGTATTGTATTGTATTGTATTGTATTGTATTGTATTGTATTGTATTGTATTGTATTGTATTGTATTGTATTGTATTGTATTGTATTGTATTGTATTGTATTGTATTGTATTGTATTGTATTGTATTGTATTGTATTGTATTGTATTGTATTGTATTGTATTGTATTGTATTGTATTGTATTGTATTGTATTGTATTGTATTGTATTGTATTGTATTGTATTGTATTGTATTGTATTGTATTGTATTGTATTGTATTGTATTGTATTGTATTGTATTGTATTGTATTGTATTGTATTGTATTGTATTGTATTGTATTGTATTGTATTGTATTGTATTGTATTGTATTGTATTGTATTGTATTGTATTGTATTGTATTGTATTGTATTGTATTGTATTGTATTGTATTGTATTGTATTGTATTGTATTGTATTGTATTGTATTGTATTGTATTGTATTGTATTGTATTGTATTGTATTGTATTGTATTGTATTGTATTGTATTGTATTGTATTGTATTGTATTGTATTGTATTGTATTGTATTGTATTGTATTGTATTGTATTGTGTTGTATTGTATTGTATTGTATTGTATTGTATTGTATTGTATTATATTGTATTCTATCGTATTGTATTATATCGTATGATATTATATTATATTATATTATATTATATTATATATACACATTTTAATATATTTATTTATTATCTTAATATTATTATTTGTATTATTATTGTTATTATATTATCATTATTATTATTTTACATATATTATAAATGCTGCTAAATACATCATCTGGTTTAAAGCATTAATAAATAAATAAATAAATAAATTATAAATGCTTCGCCAGATTAAATATTTTCTGTTCACCTCATTGCTGGCAACACGTTTCTTCCCTGATTTTTGCGCCGACATCGTTGCGTTGTTTTCTAATTTGGTTTCCTCTCGTTTTTCTTCATCGTTACTGCCATAAAGCGAAGTCACGTTCTGAGACGCTGAAAGTAAGAACGACTTCGGTTCTACTTCAATTGTTCGTAACTTCTGTTCGAAAGAAAACGTCGACGATGTCGAATCCGAGTCATCGGAATTTAAGAGCATGCTCTTCGCAATCCTGTCAGCTTCCATCATCAACTCTTCGTTACTCTGAATATCGTACGTTATACTCGTCGGCTTATTTTCACAGTCCGTAACGGCGTCTTTTTCCTCCACGATGCTTTCGGTTAACTCGCAATTTTCTACTCTCTTCAAATGATCCAGGAGCGTGTCTTCCGGCTCCGCAGTTGCTCTATTAGGCTTCTTAAACACGAAAATCGGCGACCAACCGCTCGCTTTCCTTCTGTCGCGTCCAAGTGCATTCAAATCGATTAGCCTAAAGGAGAAATACGAACGCGTTACGGACGAACGACGAGAAGAAAATATGCAGGGTGTCGCAAAATTATGAATTGCTAATCATTCCGAGAAATGAGGGATTTGAAGGGATCCTGAGGTGATTTAAAGCAACTTTTTCCTTTACAGAGATTTTCTACGAGGCTTCGTTTACGAGTTATTGACGAAAAACGCTGACCAATTAGAGACGAGCTCAGCTGGCGGATGAGCGGATGAGCGGAACCGAGCTCCGCGCGCTCATTGACCACTATTGTTTCGTTAATAACTCGTAAACGAAGCCTCGTAGAAAATTTTCGCAAAGGAAAAAGTTGCTTCGAATCACCTCAGGAATATCTCATTTCCCGCAAGTACCATAACTTTGGTACCATAATTCAAGATACCATAATGTTGACACCCTATATAGTAGAAACAATTCAGTAACCTTTTAATTTCTTCGTAGTCCAAACGTTCGCGTGATTTTTCCAAAGCACCTGCGTGCTTTTCGAGAACTTCTTCCGACAACCTTTCGAGGTCAACGATAGCTCCCATTCCCAGCTTTTCGTCAGATTCGCCGTTTAATTCGCGCGGCTTTATCTTCGCTCTCTCGACCAGCCTGGAATTACAAGGAAATTCTTCGAGAATCTCGTCATCCGAATCTCGTCTCTCCAATTCGTCCTCAGCTCTCCGATTCTTCACAGTCGCAAATTGTACGCTGTCTTCGCTGCTCCAGCTTTCGCTGCTCGTCGAAAACAGCAGCGTGGCCTTCGCTCGTTCGTTTCTTCTGCTGTCGTCGGACTCGCAGGCTCCTCGATATATCACCATCGTCGACAACGAATCCATCGAATCGGCCGATTTTGTATCGACAGAGCCAATGTCGATGCTGCCATTTCGCGATAAATTGTTCTTAATCACGTTTCCGTCACTCGGTCTGTTTAAATCGACGGTGTCCAGGTCGGACCTTTCGGAAACGGACTCGCCGTTTCGGATGGTTTCCACGTTAGAAGGGCTTCTGAAACGGAACCCGGCAGCGTCCGCTTGCATTCTGTCGTCGTCCAGGTTCATTCTGAGCCTAATCGTCGCGGTCGACGAAGAATCGTTGGTTCTCGAGGACGCGTTCTCGTCGGAAAGAACCGATTTCAGCGCAAGCATTTTCAGGAGGAACTCGTTGTTATTCATTTCCGCGGTAGATTCACTCCCTTCCGACGGCTTATCGGATTTATCGAGCTCGCTCTTGGCACCGATTTCCTCGTTGTTCGCTCCCGATAAGAATATCTCCGGTTTCTCGAGCTCCGATCGCTCTATATTCAACGCGTTTTTATTGTCATTCTCAATCGCAGCCTCTTCGAACAGATTCTTCGAAGAATTTTCTTGGAATTTATTAGAAATTTCTGTAGATTTGTGAATTATTTGCGGTTTTTTCATCGCGCTTCTGTTCTTGTGCCTGCTGCCCAAGATGGGAGACGTAGCTTTATCGTTTGAGAACCGTGCAATATTTTTCTTGCTGTCGCTTTCTCCTTCTTCTAGGATTTTTCTTCTCTTAGGCGACGATGTTTCATCTCTTTTATTCCTGTCGATTGAGATTTCGGTGATTTCGTTCCGCCCATCTTCGCCCAAAAGTATCGTTTTTTCTGACGAATCCGACGTGCTCTGTGTTTCTATGATCTCCAATGTTTCTCTATCGCTCGAGAAACGATCCTCGCGACGTATTTTTCGCGCGCAGAGCTCCGAGGCCCAGTTTTTAGGGATATTCGTCAATTTATTCTGCTGATCGTCCAGCTGGATTTTCAGCTTCTCAATCAGGCTCTTCGATTTTTCTATCACGTTCTCCAACGATCCTTGGTACGCTAATTCGTTTTTGAAATGGTCCGTTCTTAATTCGCACTCCGAGCAAATCTCCTTCAATTTGTTCAATATCATAATCACGACGGACTTCATATAAAAAGTTCGATTCTCGCTGATCGAAGTTTCGCGGTTCAATTGTTTTTCGGTAGTCGAAGAACGATTTTCATTGGCAGAGGAAAATGTTCCCGTGAATTTAGCATCGTCGATGGTTTCTGATTTCGGAAATTCCCGGCTGGAACTCGACGCTGAACTTTCGATGCGTATTTCAGGCACTTTAAACTTCAAATTACTGCAATATTTCGACTTCTCGTTTTTAGCTTCGTTTTGTTTTACTTCGTTGCGCGCCGCCTCGTCGTTTGCGCCGGTTTCACGCTTCTCAGAGCCGAAAATCCTGTTCACGGATGCTTCGTGTTTTTCACTAGACATTGTTCTTTCGTTATGCAAATCTCGTGTTTATGGTTTGAAGATCAATTTTGAACCCTGCCGAGCTGTCTTCAGTATCTTCATTGTGCATTCGGTTTCTTCGTGCTTTTTATGTGTTTTTTGACATTCTTTCAGGCGAATCTTTCAATAAAAGGCCTCCCGCGAGTTTAATTGGCCGCTTTCTTCGCCGGAGCTAGAATTATATCATTAATTCTTTGATTTTTATGATTTCTTCTGAAACGTGGTTCTTTAGATTAACTGTGGGAATAGTTTTTCCTATTATTTTCTCCCACTGTAAATTTGAATTATACACTTGAATAGATCGTCTATAGAAATTAGCATAATATAATATAATTTTTAAAACTACCTGGCAGTTCCAAAAACCGCGGTAGAAAACGTGGCGGCGGCACTTTGTTATTAACGTTTCACTGTTTTTTCATTAATCGTGGAACACTTTTAAAGCACTTTTAGGCTTCGAAAACGAATCGCAATGTCCTTGGAAGAAACGTACGACCATCAAACCGACAGAAATGAAAATCAAAATGTAGCAGAGTTTCTGAGAAAACTAAAAAAGAGCGCAGTAAATTCTCTCGAATTGTCCCACAGCTTGGAAACGAAATTGGAGAACTTGGGAAGAGGAGAAACGATTATTCGAGAGCCTCGTGCCTGGTGATTATAGTCGCCAAAATGATCGAATTAGTATGAAAATCACTAAATCATTCCCGTCGAAAACTCTGAAAACGAGCCGCGAGTTTCGAGCTTCTCGAAATTGTCCATTTTCGTTTCCAAGCCGAGGGACAATTTGGGAGAATTTACTGTACTGCGAACTTTGTTGAAACGAGGCTGGAGAAACGCTTTGCCCGAGAAGATGGTCTTCGATCATTCGAGATTGATATTCGGTTTCGATTCAGGTTCGTTCACCAGTCCAGATTCTCGTGTTTATAATACAGAACAGACGCGTTTCATTGCGCGCATTCACCGACGTCGGGAAATACACACGACTTAATTGAAGCGATGCGCGACGTATTGTTTGAGGACATTCCCGGTACACTTGGCATAATATTTGCGCGCGTCGACGGTTCGCTAACTGATCCTTAATTCAAAATCAACAGCTGAGAGCGACAAGACAGGAAACGCTCTTCCTCGTTGCTCGAACGTGTGTCTCTCGATTGTTTTTATTATCAGACACAACTTCCTACAGTGCTACCGTGGCACGCACGCGTGCTTATGCAATCGGCATACATTACACGCCGCGCGGCGCGGCGCATTAGATAATGGATTGCTGCTATCGATACGCCCAACTTGAACGGAAGACGCGATGTCTGCGAATCATCAATCGATATTCCGGCAGATACCTCTCTCTCCGCTATGTTTATGTACTTCCTTGTCGATGTTGTATACACTTCCTTCTCTCTGTTATATTAGGTCTACCGGAAAGTTCTGTCCGTTTTTGAATTGAAATATAACACAATTTTCATACAATTAATAATATTTTTATTGTAGAATATACTTTCCATCGTTACTTACGACTTCTTGCCAGCGTGATGGCAACTTGTAAATGCTACTTTTAAAAAATGATTTATTTTTAGAGGCGAAGGACTCAACTAATGGTTGACATCAGCTTCAGTTTCGAATTTTTTTTCCTGTACAAAGTTTTGCAAAGAGGAAAACAAGTGATAATCGGAGGATGCTAGGTCTGAGGAGTATGGTGGATGTGACGGAATTTCCCAGCCTAGCTCTGTGATTTCCCGACGAGTCACCAAAGCAGCATGTGATCTGGCATTATCATCGGTAGCCATGTTTTCACGATCGCGTCTCACTTAATAATGACATGAGACATGTTTGTTTCAATTTATTTAGGAGAGTACATGTGTGTAAATGCAATGATAAAGAGAGATAGTCATATATGTCTCAAATCAACATGTGCATATGGATTGAAACTTGAAGTGACACTATCGGACAGAACTTTCCGGTAGACCTAATATATACTTCCTTCTCTCTCTCTCTCTCTCTATCTCGCTCTCACTCTCTCTCTCTCTCCCATCGTCCCTCTCTCTCTCTTTCACTCTCTCTCACTCTCTCACCCTCTCTTTCACTCTCTATAAATCTCTCTCTCATTCTCTCTCACTCTCTCTCCCTGACTCTGTCTCTCCCTCCGTCTCTCTCTCACTCTTTCGCTCTCTCTTCTCTCCCTCTCCCTCTTCCTCTTCTTCCCTCTCATTTTCACTCTATTGCTCTCTCTTTCTAACTCTTTCTCTCATTCTCTCTTGCTCTCTCTTCCACGATCTCTTTCTTTCTCTCTCGCTCTCTTTGTCTCTCAAGCTCTCTCTCTCTCTCTCTCTCTCTCTCTCTCTCTCTCTCTCTCACCCCCGTCTCTCTCCCACTCTCTGTCACTGTCGCGCTCTCTCTCTTTCCCTCCGTCTCCCTCACTCTCTCTCTCTCTCACTCTCCTTCTCACTCTCTCTCTCTCCCTCCGTTTCTCTCCCATTTCCTCTCTATTGATCTCTCTTTCCAACACCCGCTTTCTATCTCTTTCGCTCTCTTCCATTCTCCCTTTTTTTCTCGCTCTCTTTCATTATCTCTCGCTCTCTCTCTCTTTCTCCCTCACTCTCTCTTGTCCCACACTCTCTCTCGCGCGCTCTCTTTCTCTCTCCCTCTTTCTTCGTCTCTCTTTCTGTCTCTCTTTCCGACTCTCTTTCTGTGTCTCTCTTGCTCTCTGTCTTTTTTCTCTCTTCCTTGCTCTCTCCTCCTCGCTCTCTTTCTCTCTCTCTCTCTTCACTTCCTCTTTATCCCTCTCCCTCTCCCATCCTTCCCATCTTTCTCTCTCTCTCTCTCTCTTTCCGTCTCTCTTCGTGTCTCTAAATTTCGACACTCTTTTTGTCTCTTTCTCACTCGCTTTTTATCTCCCTCTTTCTCCCTCATTCTCACTCTCTTTCTCTCTCTCTCAATCTCTATTCTCTCTCTTTCTCTCTCCCTCGCTCTCTGTTCTCTCTCTTTCTTTCTCTTCTCTCCCTCTTTATCTCTCTCTTCTCACTCTCTCTTTCTCTCTCTTCCTCGCTTTCTCTATCTCTCTTTTCCTCTCTCACTTTTTCTCTCTCTTTCTCTCTATTTCGCGCTCTACCTTTCTCTTTCCCTCTCTCTTTCTCTCGCTCTCTGTATTTCTCTCCTTCTATCTCTTTTTCTGTCTCTTTCTTGCTCTCTTTCACTCTATCTTTCTCTCTCTCCTACTCTCTCTTTCTTTCTCTCTTGCTCACTCTTCCACGATCTCTCTTTTTCTCTCTTTTACTCTCTCTTCTCTCTTTCTCTCTGTTTCTCTCTCACGCGCACTCTCTTTCTCTCTCTTTCTTTTTCTCTCTTTTCCCCGCTCTCTTTCTCTTTCTCTCTTTCTTCTTCGCTCTCTCTTTCATGCTCTATCTTTTTCACCTCCTCTCTTTCTTTCTCACTCTCTCTTTCTCTCTGTATCTCTCTTTCTCTCTCTTTTTCTCCCTCTCTTTTTTTCTCTATTTATTTCGTTCTCTCGTTTTTCTCCACCTTCCTCGCTCTCTCTCTCTCTCTCTGTCTCTCTCCCTGCGTCTCTCACTCTCTCTCTCTCTCTCTCTCTCTTCCTCCGTTTCTCTCACTCTTTTTCCTCTCTCTCTCTCTCTCTCTCTCTCTCTCTCTCTCTCTCGTCTTCTCCCGCAGTAAACATATCCGTTAGTTTCTCATGCAGCAACGTTCGACACGACTCGGTACAATGATTAATACCTGGCTGTTCGCGTCGCATTACTCATCAATTTTACACGTAGACTTCCGCCAGACGTTACTTACGACTAAGCCTGTGGTTTCGGAACCGACGACGATCAACGACACTACTCTGTCCACCTTTTCCTGCCCCGCCGCCGCCGCCGCCTCAAACAGACACGAATACACACCGTGTCGCCGATAGGTCGTTCTTTACCCGCGATCAGACACCTTACCGATCGCAACTCCTCGCGCATCCTCGCCGCAAAGGACAGATAAATACTCGCCAACCCTTGCCTCGTAACGCGAGCGACGCACCGCAAGATGCAGACGGCCGACGCCGACGTATTTGATGCGTGAAATACTGCGAGCTGTAAAACACGTTAATGCCACGAAACGCAATCTCGCCGAACTGGCCGCGGTGCGTTCTGCTTCGTGTAATACGAGTCAATTTCTCTATGTGCAACGCTCGAACCATTTCCAGCGACGTCGTCGCATTTTACGATTCGCGTACTGGTTACAAATTCGCTGCAACAAATCCTTAAGACGTTGCCTTACTTGCGTACGTTGCCTGTTCTCCTCGGAGGAGAGTCTCCTTTCGAGACCTTTCGCGAAAAATCGTGCTACACATTTCGTTCCCGGGGAGTTCCTTGACCACTGAAGGATCTGAGAAGGTGCAAGAAGGTTACCGAAACCTTCTGGGACCTTTTAAACCGTTATGGATCATGTTAGACGATATATAGTGTAAATTCTCTCTAATTGACGCTCAGATTGTCCACAAAACTGGACAATTTGAGAAAAGGAGATACGATTATTATATATTTTACTATATACTTTCTTTATTATACTATTATACTACTATATACTATTATATTATACTATTATACTACTATATACTATTATATTATACTATTATACTACTATATACTATTATATTATACTATATTATATTATACTATTATACTACTATATACTATTATATTATACTATAATATATTATATATTATTATACTACTATATACTATTACATTATACTATTATATACTATATATTTATAATTATTGACAATTCGTGACTATAAAAACGAATCGCAAGGCTCGAATAATCGTGTCTCCTCTTCCCAAATTCTCCATTTTTCGTGGACAATCTGAGCGTCAATTAGAGAGACATTACTGTATACACGACGCGTAATGAATTTCGTAACGTAGTCTTTAATTGCTAATAGGTCCGCCGAGTATAGTAATGTCTCCCTTACTGACGCTCAAAGTACACTAATGTCTCCCTTACTGACGCTCAAATTACAGTTATGTCTCTCTTACTGGCGCACAAATTACAGTAATGTCTCCCTTACTGACGCTCAAATTACTGTAATGTCTCCCTTACTGACGCGCAAATTACTTAATGTCTCCCTTACTGACGCTCAAAGTACACTAATGTCTCCCTTACTGACGCTCAAATTACAGTTATGTCTCTCTTACTGGCGCACAAATTACAGTAATGTCTCCCTTACTGACGCTCAAATTACTGTAATGTCTCCCTTACTGACGCGCAAATTACTTAATGTCTCCCTTACTGACGCTCAAAGTACACTAATGTCTCCCTTACTGACGCTCAAATTACAGTTATGTCTCTCTTACTGGCGCACAAATTACAGTAATGTCTCCCTTACTGACGCTCAGATTGTCCACAAAAATCGACAATTTGGGAAGAGGCGATACGATTGTCTGAGCCTTGCAGCTCATTTTTATAATTCTTGACAATTGGTAACTCTACCTAAATTGTTCATTTTTGTAGAGCGTCAATTAGGGAGATATTACTGTAGCTGATGCAACGTTACCGAAAAACAATTTTATTATTATCATAAATATTTATATTTCGTGTTATCTGGCTATTGAAAAAATCCGCAATATTCACACATTATCGCTCGCGCGAATAATTTATTTGGCATCGATGCTTGCTAACACATGCGCTAATGCAACCCGAATTAATTAGGCGCCGTCGCGTACGCAAATGTCTCCCTAACTGACGCTAAGATTGTCCACAAAAATGGACAATTTGGGAAGAGAAGATATGGTTATTCGAGTCTTGCGGCACGGTTTTTACAGTCGCCGAATGTGAACGATTATAAAAACGAGCCGCGAGGCTCGAACAATCGTATTCTCCTCTTCCCGGATTGTCCACTTTCGGAGACAATCTGAGCGTCAATTGGAGAGACATTACCGTGAAGTGAACTCGCGCGAGCGAAGCAGTATCTCGATAGCATCTCGATCGCTCGTTCGCATCGAGAAAAAACGAATCATTGGTCTCCGCGCGTCGCGATTACTTCGCATAACCGATTCTCGAGTAAACCGTTCCCTCTATCCGACGCGAGATGGTCGGCGTTTCGGATCGTCGCAACAATATTTTACAATCTAACGGACTTTACGAGCAATTCCCAGCGG